TTTTGGTCTTAAGCAAACTGGAACATGAGTAACTGATCCTTTTTTTCCAGAAAACATTAATTAAATAAAACGCAACAATTAAGACTGAATTTACTCACGAGTTACTGACCTTTTCTTTTCTTTTTTTAAACATTAATAAAATGCAACAATTTAGAGTGAATTTACTCAGTTTTTACACAAGTTACAGATTTTTTTCTCTTTTGTTTTCAACATTAACTAATTAAATTAGAGTGAATTTAAGCAGTTTTTAGCACGTAACAAAAAGGATCAGGCTTTTCTCTCAATTTTGCTCTCGTATTTAACAATTTAAACATTTTTTTCTCACAATTCAGAGAAAGAAAAACACAATTTCTTGTAACATTTTGAAACAAACTCACAATTGTAAGGAAAAAAACTATTATAAAACTATTATAAAAAAAATAATTGAAAGGCAAGAAATAATTCGCTCTGAGATAAAAGTCAGATCAGCAATATAGCAAATTCTATATTAATTTGTTTTGTAAGCCGAGATGAACAGATTTGGTTGTTAACATAAAAATTTCAATCCCTAAATAGGATTTCCACAAGTCTAGACAATTTGGGTCTCATGCTGAATGCAAAAAAAATCTATAGTAATTTGGTTTGTAAGCCAAAATCTACAAATTTGGTCATTAATGTTATGAATTAAAAAAAAAATCAATCCTTAAATATGATTTTCACAAATTTAGAGAATTTAGGAAACATAAATCTGCATTAAAAATTTAATCAACTAAAAAACGTGAGCAAAAAATATATATATAAATAATTAATAACAATAATTATTTGCGGGAAAAAGTGAACCCAAAACTTCCTCCAAATTCTATATTAATTTGTAAGCCAAAATTAGCAAATTTGGTTGTTAATGTAAAAAATTTAAATCGTTCAAATACAATTTCTCCAAGTTTAAAGAGTTCGGGAAACATAAATCTGCATTAAAAAATGGATCTTCTTAAAAAGGTGCCGTTTGGATGCAGAAACAAAATCAGTCAACCAGAATCAGAACATTTACATGTGCAAAAAATAATAATAATTTGCAGGAAAAAGTGAACTCAAAGCTTCCTCCAAATTATTCATTTGGTTTGTAAGCAAAAATGAACAAATCTGGTTGTTAATGTAATGAAAAAAAAAAAAAATCAATCCTTAAATATGATTTCCACAAGTTTGAAGGATCCGGGAAACATCAAATTATATATTGCATAAAAAAAGGAGCCATTTAAACGCAGAATAAAAACAATCACTTAACCAGGACACTTACATGTGCAAAAAATGTAAATGACAAAAAAAGTGAATTTAAAGCTTCCTCCAATGCAAAACTAAACTACGGATCATCATTGAGAAGAGGAAAAATGTTTATTCTAGTATAGATAGAAATAAAAAGGCATGGGGGCCCAGCTCTATTTTGATGTCTGCGAACTGTCGGTCCGGGTCGAGTATGCAAAAAATTCTATAGTGATTTGGTTTGTAAGCCAAGATGAACAAGTTTGGTTGTTAACGTTATAGAGCAGGGGTCACCAAACGTGTTCCTGGAGGGCCGGTGTCCTGCAGATTTAAGCTCCGACCCTAATCAAACACACCTGAACAAGCTAATCAAGGTCTCAAGCTGGGGTCACACTGGACTTTTCTCCCCATAGACTTCCATTCATACGTACGCGAATGCGTCAGTCCGGAAACGCAGGGTCATGCGTTGTGTTGCAGTTCGCTGCGGTGCAAAGTTCAAGCTTGGTGAACTCTGACCTGCGAAATCACATCACTTGACTGCGTGAGACCAATAGAGGATCAAAACATGACCTCTCTGCCAGAAATTTAAAACATCGACCAATCGCTCGCTTTTTTTAATGTCTAATAATCTTGCTTATTCCTGCCACTTTTCGCAGCACCATACGACAGAATTTCACACGCACAAACTCTAGTGTGACCGCAGCTTGACTAGGTATGCTTGAAACACCCAGGCAGGTGTGTTGAGGCAAGTTGGAGCTAAACCCTGCAGGGCACTGGACCTCCAGGAACGAGACCCCTGTTATAGAGTTTAAGAGCAGGGGTGCTCAAGCCTGTTTCTGGAGATCTACCTTCCCTGCTGAAAAATCTAGCTTAAACCAGTTTAGGATGGTTGGCTGGTTTTATCTGGTCAGCCAGGCTGGTTTTAGAGGGGTTTTGGCCACTTCCAGGCTGGATTCTAGCCATTTCCAGCCTAGGCTTAGCTGGTCAGGCTGGAAAGTGACCAGCTAAAACCATCTTAAACCAGCTTGAACATCCTGGTTTAGGCTGGACATAGCTGGTTTTGGCTGCGCTCCCAGCCTGGTAAGGCTGGTCAAGCTGGTTTTAGCTGGTCATCTCCCAGCCTGACCAGCTAAAACCAGGCTGGAAACCTGCCTGGAAGTGGCCAAAACCCCTCTAAAACCAGCCTGGTTGACCAGTTAAAACCAGCCAACCATCCTAGGCTGGTTTAAGCTGGATTTTTCAGCAGGGTTCCTACAGAGTTCAGCTCCAACCCTCATCATACACACCTGAACCAATCAATTAGAACCCAAACAGCACTTGATTATTACAGGCAGGTGTGTTTGGTCAGAGTTGCAACTGAAATCTGCAGGATCTCCAGGAGCAGGTTTGAGCACCCCTGGTTTAGAGAATCCGAGTTTAGAGAATCCGGGAAACATCAAATTAAATATTGCATGACATAAAAAATGAGATCTGCATGAAAAAGTGCAGAAAGAAATCAGTCAACCAGCATTAGGACATTTCCATGTGCAAAAAACTACAAATATTCGCAGGGAAAAGTGAACTTGAAGCTTCCTCCAATGCAAAACTAAACTACGGATGATGGTGTTTGAGAAGCAGAGAAATGTTTATTCTAGTATTTGGGATCGAAAGGCATCGGGCCCAGCTCTATTTTGACATCTGCGAACTGTCGGTTCGGGTCTCGTCCTGAGTGCTGGCTCCATTTCTTGGCTCTGTGAGGTCGAGGTCGAGGCTGATGCTGCTGCTTTCTCTGTGGGCGCTGGCAGGGACGCCACGCCTTGACCTTTGACCCCGGCCCTTCCAAGGCGCGACTGCAAATTTACAAACAGGAAATAGTTTTAGGGGTTTTTTTTGCCACAAAGCCTGACGCGTGGTTCACTCATGCGTGTCAACATGCAGATGCTACTCTTTCTCAGACCTACAAACAGAGAAGCAACAGAAGTTATCAGCATGCACCGGATAAACAGAAGCATTAGTGTGCACTTCTCACGGGCCAATTCATATACAGTTACAGTTAGAAGTCACAAATATTAGCCCTCCTGTACTTTTCTTTTTGAGGTATACTCCAAATGATGTTGAACAGATTCAGGAAATTTTCACAGTATTTCCTATAATATTTTTTCTTCTGGTGAAAGTCTGTTTTGTTTTATTTCAGCTAGAATAAAAGCAGTTTTTATTTTTTCTAAACCCATTTTAAGGTCAATATTAATTACAGAACAAGAACAGTCTACAGAACAAACCACTGTTATACAATGACTTGACTAATTACCCTAACTTTACCCTAATTAACCTAGTTAAGCCTTTAAATGTCACTTAAAGCTGAATACTAGTGTCTTGAAGAATATCTAGTTAAATATGATGTGCTGTCATCATGGCAAAGATAAAAAGGCTAATAAACGTGGGCTAATAATTCTGCATAGCGACTGTATTACTTTAAAAAAAAAAAATAAATAAATAAATAAATATATACATATATATATATATCATGTTTTTAAAAGTTTGTAAGATTGTAATCATTAACCAAAACTATATAAAATATTTGTATTAATTGGATTAAAATGAATAACCATTAAATGAACACACAAACAATACTTAAATTATTATTATTAAATTGTTATAAATTTAACTATTAAATGTAAAGCCAAATAGAAAATAATGAATTACAACTGAACTAAATTATTGTTTAATTTTCAATTTTAAAAAATTATTAAATTAAATTATTTAATTTTTAATAAAAAATATAAAATCTGAAAATAAGATTACAATTTTACAAAACCTACAATGGCATATAAATAATAATAAAATATGGTAAAATTCTGCTGCCCTCATTCTCAAATGAACACTTTAAACAATATAAGAAAACAACACTACCACTAGCCACTGGTGTCACTAATAAATAAGTGTAAATTTTGCTAGCTGTATCTGTAAATATTAGTAACAAAAATTATGTTATGAAGTGCATAAAACCATGTAAAACAAATTTGCTGTGAGTATATTGGACATCGAATTACATTGGCTGCATCCAAAATCGCCTACTACTCATTACTGCATTTAAATCTAAATTTACTACTTGACCGTTTGAGAAGTACGTTCTATACAGTATGAATGCGAGTTGTACGAATGGAACTCGGATGTACTACATACGCCATTTTGTCATGATAAGGTGACCTACCCACGTCAGTTGCATCGCTTTACTCCCATTCACGAATTCTCTTGCAGTGCATCATGGGACAGCGTAGCATGCATCGGATGCGCACTTCAGAATCTCACCGGAAGTAGCAGGTCATCTGGGTACTTCTCGCGTACTGCTTTTTCGAATTCTATTTTTCGAACTGTTTATAGAGGACTATATGGAATGCAATTTCGGACGCAGCCATTCAATCTTTTGTTCATTATGCAGTTCACTGAACAGCCACTGGTGTTGCTATAAACAAGGCTTTAAAATATTAATAATAAACTTAAATTTCACTAGCTGTGTCAGCAAAAACAATAAAAACTTTTTTTTTATTTGAAGAGCATAAAACGACAACTTTGCTGTGAATATCGAATCAAATTCGCTCTTTTGTTCGCTATGCAGTTCATTAAACAGCCACCGGTGTCGCTATAAACATGACTTTAACAACAATAATAATAATAAACGGAAAATTGAGATGCCCAAGTTACAAGATACACAAACCATATCTGTGAATTTTTTATAACGAAAAAGACAGCAAAATGCCTTACCTCGGCCCATAGTATTTTATGTACGTTTCTCCAAATATGTGCCGATATATATAATCATCCAGGTCCTCGAACACATCATCGCTGAGACCGTGATATTCGATGATTTCCTCGAGATAATCCTCAACGCCGCTGACAAAGTCGGTAAACAGCATCTGATCGTGGATGAAGACGCCGTTATGAAAGAAGTTATTGATGAAGCTCTCCAGCTCCCTCCAGTGGTGGAAATGACCCACTTCTTTCTGCAAATAACTGTGCAGGAGTTCGTTAAACTCATCCGCGCGAATGGGCTCCATGGCTTTATTGAACAAACTCATCGATTCCTGGTAGGCGCAATCGTAGACCCCTGAACATCCTTTTGGGGGTGTTTTTTGTGCGCCGGGTTTGCGCGTATTGCGTTCGGCATTGAACGAAGAGTCGCCGGTGGGTTTACGTGAGTATAAAGGTTTCTGCGGCTGCCAATCGTCAGCACGTTTGTTTCCGTGCTCCTGCTGGAAGGTTTGCTGCTCCTGAAATCGCTTTTCGTGACTAAAAACGTTAGTCGCTGAGTTTTTGAAATTCCTGAGCGTGGATTTAACGGAGTCGGAGAACTTGCGCAGGTTTTCCTTCACCGCCTCTTTGGCTTTTTTTATCTGCTCCTTCTGATGATGCACAAACTCCTTGGTGGAGTTTTTCATGGCGTCGAACGTTTCCTTCACTTTTCCCAGCATCCCATCTTTGGGGATTTTCGTCTTCTTCACGTCTCGGTCTCCTTTCGCTCGCTCTTCCTTCATCTCCAAATACAGTCGTTCCCACAGATCGGAGCGCTGCTGCTCAAACTTCAGCTTGTTTTGCAGCTCCTCAAGTTTTGCCTGTAGTTCTCCGGTCTCCTCTTTCCGATTGATTTCTTCCTTCAGATTTTCAGTGGTTATTCGCTCCTTTTCCAGCTCTTTCCGCAGCAGCTGAGCCTCAGCCATCAGAGCTTCTCTCTGGCTCATGAAGCTGCGCAGTTTCTGCTTCTCCTCCTGCAAGCAGGGATGCAGCAATTAATCCATTTTACCATTAACCATGATTTAAAGAGCACAGTTTACCCCTTTTTTATGATTTCATATTAATATTAGGGTTCTTCTGAGTGTGTTAGTTTAGGTTCATTTCAACACACAGTTCAGATGTTATAATAATAATGTGTTCAAAAGTGTCATGTTGGGGGCGTTTACACAGTTTACTGTTTTAGGGGCGTGTTACTTCACAGTTTCGGCTTCCCGCCCAACGTAACAAGGGGGCGGAGCCAAGAGCTCCCACGCTCTGTGTTTGCAACAGACATGCTGACAGACAGAGAGAGGGAAGCTAAGCTAAGCTAGGATGAACATTCAGCCGTACATGTACGAGTCGGACACAGACCAAGCAGAGTACAAAATCATTTGTGTCTTTGTATAGTCTCAGTGTACAAGTGCTGAGCTTGTACACCGAGACTAATAACCACACACACTGAATTAACTTTGACTGAGGCACCGAATACGCCACGACACGGCAAACCAGACACACTCAGTGACGCGGAAGAAACATGAAGTGTCCCGAATCGTCACGCCACGCATTCCAGAACTCCAAAAACATATCTCTACCAGGGCAAACACAACGGCGCCTTGGCCGCCGAGCCGCTGACCCAAAGCTCCGCCGCGTGCACCCCAACAGAAACCCAAGCCTAGAACTCCCAAATGCACTGCGCCACGCAAAAGGTACAAGCAATAATTCCGATTACAGTGATAATGTGGAGAATATTGATCGTGTGTTGAGCCCAATGAGTCTTTTATCTAAAAATAGAGCAAGGGTGTTCCTTTGGTGACATCGCTTTAACGCTGAAAATGGTGGACGTGCAACAAGAAACTGAGCATATGATCGTGACGCGAGGCTATCAATCAATATTGGTGGGCGGGGGGACCGCTCTCCTACGTAAAGTTGCGGTCGGTCTGAAAACCGCTTTAATTGGTCCTCCGTTTTTATGTCGTTAAATTGAAAAAAAAGGACTGTGTGTGTTTATATCACCCCAAAATGACGGTCTATACACGGTACATACACACATGTCTGTCCAAACAGCTTAAAAAGTAGATTTTTCACCATGGGTGCGCTTTAATTCATGTCATGATTAATAAATCAAAAAGGCCCTGCAACCAGTGTTGGGAAAGTTACTTCAAAAAGGTTATTAATTACATCATTAAAATTGTATTTAAATGACATTTTAATTGCAAAAGTTATTTTGCTAGCGCACAATGTTATTAAAATCAGTAAGGGGGCAAACACTTTTTCACATCACTGTGGATTACTTATTATGTATAATACAAACATTGATAAAACAAAACTATACAAAACTATTTTGTTACATAGATATTCAAATAAATATTTAATTTGGATCATATATATATACAGCTGAAGTCAGAATTATTAGCCCCTCTTAGATTTTCTTTTTTAAATATTTCCCAGATGATGTTGAACAGATTCGGGAAATTTTCACAGTATGTCTGATAATATTTTTTCTTCTGGAGAAAGTCTTATTTGCTTTATTTCAGCTAGAATAAAAGCTGTTTGTAATTTTTTAAACCACATTTTAAGATCAAAATTATTAGCTCCTTTAGGCCCCTTTGAGTTTTGGCTATGCACGTAAAGCACAGAGCCGTGCAGAGACCTTTCGAGGGGCAGGTGCATGATGTGAAAACCGAGGGGTACTTTCATTTTGAGGGGGCACTTTTTCTCCAAGAAGCAAGAGCTCAAGCACCCAAAACCCCCCTCCACTGCTTGTGCCTAGTAAAGCATCCTAAGGAACATATTCATTTAAACTCCAAGTCAACTCAGAGGTAGGCGGCCACAATTAATACCTAAGTTTGTATAAATTATACATATAACATTGTTTTATATTGTTATTTGCATGCTGAGGGTGTAAGGGATGGTCAACAGTGTATTTACAAATGTAATTACAAACGTTAATTACAGATGTAATTGCATACATTGCATATTTAATCAAGCATAAGTACACAGTAAATATATGTATTTACACAATAAGTATATTAATTCCTGTGTAAGTACATATTAGTCAAGGCCACTTATTATAAAGTGGGACCATTGATATTTTAGTGTAGAGGTTGCATTAAATTCTGCATGAACTGGAAGCTGCGACTGTTGTTTTTTATTCGTATTGTGATGCAGTTCCTTGAGAAACAGATTATTAAAGGAGTAAACAGTGGGCGTGGCTTGTTTTTCTACTACGAGCTGATTGGATGAAGTGAAGTAGGCATCTTATTCAGAATCATGGGGAAAAGGGTTTGAAGAGAGTTATTACAACCTAACAGACTCCTCCTCCTCACTGTTTCTGTTTGTTGACTGACAGCTGGAGGTGCATGATTAAGTATGTTAGCCACGCCCACGCCCAATACCTCAGACTGACCTAATCTGAGAATTGAACTGAAAACAATCAGGGAGTGCATCTGCAGATTTTAATTTTAGATTATCAATGCAATCTATTTTTTTTTACTTAATGACATGCACAGATGAATTGTTCACCACTAAACTAGCAATGTAAGCTAATAAAATCAATATGGCTACTTTTGATTTCATTTGTACTTCAAGACAAAAATATAGAAAACAAGACTGAGTAATATAAGAAAGGCAGCAAAATAAATAAATAGATACAAAAACATAATAAATCAATATAATGGTGTATATTAGGACTGTTGGGTGCCATGGCTGGATCTGCTTAGGGCCCCCAAATCACTAAATCCTCCCCTGATTTGATCTCTACCTGCAAGTGTCCCTTCAGCCGCTGGTTTTCGCTCTGGATGGACTGGGCTCCGGCTCCTCTGTCCTCCAGCTCTCGGATCTTTCCCCGCAGGACCAACAGCTCCTCCTGAAGGGCCGACAGAGACGCTTCTTCTCGCTCAAGAGAGATTTTAAGCTTCTGGTTCTCGGCGGTCAGATCTTTCTCCCGGCTCTCCATCCGGCTTTTGGTTTGCATGAGCTGCTCGAATAAATCTCGTCTTTGGGCCTGTGTTTGAAAGCAGGAATAAAACTGTTAAAGGTGAAATTAACGTTTTTGGTGGATGTTAGTATCAGTATGTTCGTTTTAAGGATATCTAGTGTGCCCAAAAATAGTGACCAAATCTACATTTAGAAGATATAAAGCTTAAATAAACATTAAAAGTTTGCAGTTTGTCACTGCCGCCTACAGTTAAAGTCAGAATTATTAGCCCCCCTGAATTATTCGCCCCCGGTTTATTTATTTTCCCTAACTTCTGTTTATGGAGGGAAGATTGTTTCAGCACATTTCTAATCATAATAGTTTAATAACTCATTTCTAATAACTGATTTATTTTATCTTTGCCATGATAACAGTTAATAATATTTGTCTAGATATTCTTCAAGACACTTCTATACAGCTTAAAGTGACATTTAAAGGCTTAACTAAGTTAACTGGGCAGGTTAGGGTAATTAGGCAAGATATTATATAATGATGGTTTGTTCTGTAGACCATCAATAAATAAAATAGCTTAAAGGGGCTAATAATTTTGACCTAAAAATGGTTTAAAAAAAATTTTAACTGCTTTTATTCAAGCCGAAATAAAACAAATAAGACTTTCTCAAGAAGAAAAAATATTCTAGGACAGCGGTTCTCAAACTTTTTCACCAAGTACCACCTCATAAAAAAATTGTCTCTCCAAGTACCACCATAATGACCAGTTTAAAAATACAGAAGCATAGCAGGCCTACTTATGCAGCTAAAGCTCTGCACAGTTCCAAAACAATGCAGATGAATTTCTTTTATTAAAGGTTCAGGACACCCTGGAGAACTTTTTCTTTTGTATTAACAGATTTGTGTGTGTTGAGCATCAGTAAAGACAATGTTAGCACCTGTCAGCTTTAATTGTGGGGAAAACTGGATAATTTTGAGCTTTTGTCAGCTCATTTCAGCTTCCGGGTTTAAAATTATTATTGGGGCGGGATCAAAATCGGCGACGTAGCGCAGTACTGCAAGTGCAATGATGATGCGTCGGTTTCTCATTATTATTCATAGCGGAGTTTTCTTATCCTATGAGAAGAGCCGGCTGCTTAATTATTCATGAGACCTGCCAGACCTGCCAGTGTCAAGCCCGAGCTGAGAGACACGGAAACCACAGCACAGTATTTAGCCGTTCATGAAGGCTCATATGCGTTTGTTTCCATCATCCACGGGGTTTGTTGCATGTTTTCCCCCGCGATCTTGTCAGGGCCGATCATACAGCAGAGCTGTGTGTGTGCTACAAGCATTTTTGTCGGGAGAGCAGCACGAGAATTGGAGAATGGTGGACGCTGTCTTTCATCAGGAGTTCGTTCACATTCAGACACATCGCCGTGCTGCTGTGTTTGCCTAAATCCTCCAGATTACCAGCAGGGTTAATGGTTAAAATAGACGGGTCAGGAGACCTGCTGCACTGAGTCTGCTGGATACGGGGATTGAAGGAGAAGTCCTCATTTATAGTGTTTACATGAACACACATCTTTATAATGATATAAATTGTTGTTGTCTGTATATGAAATTACAAATAGCAAATGTAGCAGGGCATTAAATCACTGTTCATTTCTTTGCATTTTAACTTTGTGAACTATAAACTCATGCGTCTCCTCACAGTTTGTGTCTCATTTTGTGAGCTAACTGACAACAGCAGTTATTCGCTCCCCTTCTCCCCTGCTGGCCACGCCCACTCCTGCCCTGTGCTCGCGGAGCTCCACGCCCATTAATCATGCATCTTTTGAAAAAATTCTGAAGTAGACTCTAACCAAAAGAGGGGGGTGTCATGGCCCTTTAAGGATATTTATTATTGTCAGCCACTTTAAACATTATAAATAGTTTGAACATTAACTGTGCTTACAGGTAAAAAATAATAATAATGTTTAAATTAAAATGTGCTTCTAAAAGTTAATTAAAACGGCACTGATCTTAAAAAGTAAAAAGAAAACTGATGTACTTAAATGTAAAGTATTACCATAGAGTAGCTTATTTATCAAAACCTGGAAATTTTTACTTGGGACTGCATAAATATAAGCTACATGTGATCATATACTTATTTGCAGTGGTGGAAAGAGTACTGAACAATCACACTCAAGTAAAAGTACCTATAACGGTCTCCAGCATCCTCTAGTTATTATGGAGCCGCTTTGACAGGAGCAGTGATGTTCATGATGCGTCCAAGCATTTATATCTCAAGAGTAACTTTATTTTTCTTACAAATACGACAAACAAACACGGTCTGTTTCCCCGCTACTCCTGTCAGCTGATCACCCATCACCTGTGAGCGCTTACGTAAGCAGGTGAGCTGACGTGACATATAGGTGGAGTTTATCTATATCATTAAACCACTCGATCAGTGACACAGAATAATACTTTATAATATTATTAATCTCAATCAATCATGCAACAAATAAACAAATAAAATATAAATATATATAAATATCACAAATGGCTCCAACAGTACCATTACTTGCCTAAAAATGTAGTGTGAGTAGAGTAAAAGTACCTGTTGTAAATATTACTCAAAGTAGGTGTAAAAAGTCGCCCTTTCAGAAGTACTCATGAGTAGTGATTGGTATTACGCTGTGAAAAGCTGATGCGTTTACATGTCATTTGTGGATGTGTAAACGTAACATTCTGTAGTGCATTTAATTATTATTCCGCAGGCACACAACGTCATAACATGTTAATATTAGGTTAGATTTAGGTTGTAATGTCAAGTGACTAAAATTCAATGTCTAGCCAGCGTCTAAGCATAATGTCCAATAATGACGTCAAATGACACCGATATTAAGGTTGTTAGAAAGTGACCAAAATTCAACGTCGAGCCAACATCTTAAACCAACATCATATTGACATTGTCAAAAACTGACATTTATCCATCAGGTATGACAACCAAAATCTAACATCTGATAGACGTCATAGTGGGAACGTTCACACAACTTCAAGCTGTGACATCATTAGACGTTGATATTTGGTTGGTTTTAAGTCTTTGGTGTTCAGGTCCTAATTAATTAGATCATGTGTGTTTGATATGGGTAGCAACTGACATTTGAGGGAAGGTAGATCTCCAGGAACAGGATTGAGCACCCCTGGGCTAAGGGGTAGAAATGGGATTGGGCCTTACATTGACTTAAGTAACTGTAACCAAATTACACAAATTTAAATGTAATTTGTTACTGTGGCGAGGGGGCGGGGCCGAGAGCCGTGGGAACGGAATGAGGCCGCCGCGTAAGTGGATGCACCTGTGGTGCGCACCGGCCTCGAATCCCAAGGAAGGAGCTCTGGACTATAAGAGAAGGAACGATGGCAGAGGAGGCCGAGAGAGGACCAGGCCCAGACACATTGTTTTACTCTTGTTTTCAGTTTGATGGCCGACTCTGTGAGGAGCTGCCATCCGTTTGTTTTGGTTTAGATGTAGTCTCCGTGAGGAGCCGCCGTCCCTGGTATTAATAAATATTTTAAAACTTAGTCGGTTCTCCGCCTCCTCCTTCCCGGCGGCCAAAGGGCCATAACCTTATTACAGTTACATTACTGCGTTCCCCAAAAATGTAATTAGAATACAGAAACACATTACACCCGACTCTGGAAATAAAGCTGTATGTATCTGTGTGGGTGTTAGGATTGACACACAGACCTTATTTATAACATCCAGCTCTCTTTTACAAGGCACGTCCAGCTCAATCACACGACTCTTCTCCACAATCCTTTGCCTCTCCTGAATCTGCACTGTGCCTGAAACACACACACGTTTGTTTTTGTGAAAAGTGGGGACATTACATAGGTTTCCATTCATTTTATACAGTCCAAACCGTATATTATATTGCCCTCACCCCACCCCACCCCTAAACCCAACCATCACAGGAGACTGTGTGCAGCTTTATTAAACTCATCCTGTAGAATTTATAAGCATTTTGAGAAATGAAGACGTCACCTATGTCCTCATATTTCACCTCTTTTTTGTAATACCTGTGTCATGCCTTTGTCATTATATGTCACAAAAACACGTACACACACACACACACTGTATGTTCCTTGTTTTTACAGATTAAAACTTGTGGCTAAGAAATACGTATTTGGTGTGGTCAGAGATAAATTTGATAAATCCTTAATTTTGAGCCCTGAAAAGTCATCTGAAATAAAAACTGATTGCATTGCGACACTACCCATTTGCTCATGCACACTAAGCAAGCTAATACACACAAGAAGTTAAATCAGGGGTCACCAAACTTGTTCCTGGAGGGCCGGTGTCCTGCAG